GCGTGAAGTCTTGCAAATTTCACTTGAAACGCATCATCGGTGAAAGGTTATTAACGTTCGAAGAATTATCGACAGCGTTAATTCAAATCGAGGCATGCTTAAATTCGCGCCCTATTTGCCAATTGCCTTCCACACCCGCAGATCTCCAGCCGCTCACACCAGGGCATTTTCTTATCGGAGAACCGTTGACTAGTCTTGTAGACATTGACACAAGTGACGTGCCAATCAACCGTCTCGATCGTTGGCAGCTAGTGCAAAAGATCACGCGAGATTTTTGAAGTCGATGGAGTAAGAAATATTTAACTTCCTTACAAAGTAGAATCAAGTGGAGACATGAAAAGTTGAACATAGTAGTGAACGATATTGTTTTAATTCAAGACAACAATGCCGCGCCGTTAAAATGGAAGTTAGGTAGGGTAGTCGAAACCCATCATACGCGTAGTTACATTAAAAACTGCAAACGGAACATATAAGAGAGCTATTGGCAAATTGTGTAAGTTACCGATTTCTGATGACAATTGACGAAATTAATTAACATTAATTGGTGGGCGGGATGTATAGGTTTGACTAGGACCGTTTACACGTGACGGGCATATGTACGGAAGTAACGAGAAGGTGGGAAATGCGAGAAATTGTAATAGGGCATAAGCCGACACTGAAGAAATGAGTCAGTTGTAATCTGCACGCCGAATCGATTATCAGCAAATATTATAATCTTGACGAACAAAATAAAGTGAAATAATGAAGCATAATTAAATCAATCATTAATTTAAATAAGCGTGAGCTTGCACTAACAATCACATACAGATTAAATAATTTGTTGGTGAGATTAAAAATCCTATTATGTAATGATTCTACCTATCTATGCAAATCAAAGATTTCAATGTTCATCGCATTTGTTTTGAATTTGTACAACATGTTCTCTAGTCTTTTGATCGATCTGTGATGAAAAACATTAAATTTTATGTGGCAAAATCTTTCCAAATGTGTAGGAAAAATATCGTTATTTTTACAAGTTCTTAAAAATCGCAATTTTGCTTCGAAGATAATCCGAATATTCTATTCACACGCGCGGACAAGGGTAACGCTACGGTTGCAATGGAGAGATCTTATTATACTAGTAAAATGGAAAACGTATTAAAAGATGTCAACACATACACTATTGTTTAAAAAAATCCGTGCAAAATAATAGAAAATGAATTGAATGAGTTGTTGAAGAAATGGCTTAAGGAAGATTACATGTCAAAAAAGGAATATTATAAATTACGTTGTAGTGATTCTCTCCTTCCAAAAGCGTACGGATTACCTAAAATCCATAAGGAAAACTATCCAGTTAGAATCATAGTTTCATCGGTTGATACAGCTTTATACTCGCTGGCTTCGTTTTTACAAAACATCTTATAAACCAGCCTACCCAAAGCGAAAAGTCATATCAATAATAGTTTTGAGTTGTACAGCATGTTGTCTGATAAAAAGATTGATGAGAACGATAGGATGTTTTCTTTAGATGTGGTTTATTTATTTACAAACGTACCTCTGAATCTTGCGATTAACGGTATTAACGATAGATGGGATTACATTGAAATAAATACTAGAATACCGAAAAGCGAATTTTTATGTGGTATAAAATTCATATTGACCTCTACATATTTTACATTTAATGACATAATTTACAAACAGACTTTTGGGACCCCTATGGGGTCTCCGTTATCACCAATTATAGCTGACTTGGTTATGCAAGATCTTGAGGATACAGTTCTTAAAGCGTTACATTTAAAATGTTTGTTTTATTTCCGTTATGTGGATGACATAATACTGGCCACTTCTATGATTAATATGACTCAGATAGTTAATAATTTTAATAACTATCACGATAGACTTAAATTCACGGTGGAACAAGAGGTTAATCGTAGCTTGAATTTCTTAGATTCATCACTTAAAATGATTAATAGCACAATATACATAGACTGGTATCAAAAAGAAACCTTCTCAGGAAGGACTTTATCATTTTATTCAAACCACCCATTATGCCATAAAATTGGAATAATATACAACCTTGTAGATAGAAGTCTGTTGTTATCACACCCACAATATTTTAATAAAAATTTGGAGTTAATCATTAATATACTCATAAGCAGTGGTTACCCTCTTGATCTGATCTTTAACAAAATTAATCGGCGGATAGAACACATCATATCTAAAAAAAGCATTATAAAGAGACAGGCCAACATAGAAAGAACCGAAATTATAGAAAAGGACTCAGTTAATAAAAAATTCTTTGTTATTCCATATATAAGTAAGATCTCAGAAATGATTGTTTCCTCGGTAAAAAATACAGAGTGTATTGTAGGATATAGATGTCTCAACAAACTTGATAATATTATTAAATTGCGGAATGTTCGCGACTATTGGGTAAGGATATTCGACATCAAATAATGGCTCGATATTAAAAAATTGAAACAAGAGTATCTTGTGCCAACACTTGAACACGCTTCTAGACACATGCTAGAGAACATTGGCAAAAATAATGACGCCAATTTTCGTCTGGAAGTAAAAAAAATCGATGATGACAATTATGACATCGCACTGGACTGCCTACGTAGGCATCTTCATTTAGCAGAGTAAATGTTAAATGCTTAATCTTCTTTTCTCTTTCTCTTTCTTTCCCTCTTTCTATCTTCCTAATGGTTTATTATTAACTAAACAACTAATGTTTGCTCCAAATGAGTATTTTCCATGATTACTTGTAAATTATTTGTAACACATTGATATTTGTGATTTTGCAGATTTGCCAAACTGCTCGAGTCCTTATTTGCAAATATGTTTCTGTTCACTATTTATGCAGTGATACTTTCTAGCACTATATCCGGTATACAGGTATGAACAATGATATTTTTCTTTGCAGCAACAACAGGAATATATCATAAGCAATTTTGAGTATAACTTAATTGTAACATTGCATATACGAGTACATCCTCTAAAATCATTTAATCCTAATTGAATTAGAGACAAAATAAAATTCGATTTGATTAGTTAAATTTGTCTTCCAGATATTAATGAATTTACATACGATCGCTGTTGCATCACCTTTGTCTGTTTATATCGGGCAAATTCATCCATCTCTTTCTACAATTTTGGCAGGTCCAATTTCTTTTGGATTCCAGCGAAATTCCATATAAATCTATGTTAGAATTTCTTTGAATTTATTTAAATTATTTATTGTAAATCATTTCTAATCAATTTTTTTCGTAATGCGCGAACAGTTACGCCATAATTTAGTATTTTTTGTTAAATTATCAGAAAATTTTCTTGTATTCTTTGCATTGCAAAGCATAACGCTTAAAAAAATATAAGTTTTATTACTATTTATATTCAAAATAATATGAATCTTTTTGCATTATAGTTGCAAAGGAAGATGGTACTATACTTCTCGAAGATGTAGAAAGATCCTTCTTCTAATTTTGAACAGAACGATGACACCCTGCAAAATAACTGCTGGCAATCTCATGACCTTATCAATTGAAAATTACGGAGCGGTAAAGTAAAATTGTACATTTGTATTATAATTGTACAATTATTTATATACATAACACTTTGCAATTATGTTAAAGAATATATGCGAGAGACTTGTTATTTTTTAAAGGTTTTGAAAACATCGATGTCTTATTTTACGATGTTACGTTCCTTCCAGTGATGATGATTTATCATCTTCAAAAATAGTCAATGCTTAATAAACTTTTTTAATAAAATAACATTATACATAAAATTTTTCCTTTTCTTTTTTTCTCGTCCTTCTAAAAATAAAAATTAGGTTGCCGATCAGACATAGTTCATAAATCATGTTTTTATAAATATTCTAAAAATCACAGCTCAACAAATGACGCACCTCATATTATGTATTTTCTGATGTTAAATTCGATGGATGTAAATTTCGGAGACTATCCAAATTATCTATTAGTAATGCATCTCATGTTTTTACATCTCTATAACTATTTCATATTTTAATATCTATTTGTATTATTTTTTATTTATTTTCTACTGATTGTTTCAAAAAAAGCATAAAATTTTCAAAAGTAAAATTATTCGGTGCGTTTACTAGGAACCGTGAAAAACTGAAAATCAATTCATATTACTCTGTACTGATACGCGCATATAACTTGCACTTGGATTCTTTCTCTCCTTTATTAATTCTTCTTTTATCGCAATTTGTTCATATATATTTCATGAACATATTGCAAAATAAATAAAAATTTCACATATCCTGCTTTTTGGATGACAAAATAAAAATGTATAATAAATGTACATTTAAATATTTTTTTAGATTTTTTATTATTTGTTATAATCCCTAATTATGTCTGTTAATATATTTGCAGAACAAATTGATATTATAGATATTATATAATAACAGAGCAAATTGATATTGCACTTTGAGAAGATGTCAAAATCATTTTCTCTCAATAATAAACAAAACGGTCGCTTTTACAGATGTCTTCGTTCACAATCTTTATACACTTCGATTATTTATCATCTGTGCGATGCAGCTTATTAATAAAATTTTAAAATTTATTATACATGATTTTATATCGACACAGTTTTTGCCATCAATTTGGAATTAATTTAAAATTACCGAGAATATATGACAGGTAGATGTCATATCTTTCGTTACAAATTCGCAATTGCCATAGAAAACGCTTATTTCGCAACTATCCAAGGAGAAAATTTTCATAGTCGTTACTTAGAAATTTGGTTTGTTGAACAGACTGTTGTATCTATTATTGCTACAGGAAAAGTGTTAATTTGTTCTTAAAAAGGCTTTAGATAATGAGGGGAAGGAAACGAGGGAGAATACAGGGTTACACGCTATACAAAAATAATTGCACTCTCATTATTATAATGACAAGAACTATAGTCATAGAAGTAGCACAAAGAATTGTTAATGTTTCCGAACTTTTCGGTGAATTTACAAAGAATCATTGTTCGTGCGTCTAGTAGTTCCGACGATGGCACAAAAGGACTGTTGGCAAAGTCGCTATTACGCGTTTTCCAAGGTGTTTATGATATTGGCTGGAATATGGTCATATCATACGATCGGTATTAAGTGTCTGATCTTCGTGGCAGTATTTACGTTCTCTTTTAGTATTGTTGTACCCCAGATACTTCTCATTGCACCTTTAGTATATGGCGTATGGCGTTCAAAGCGCTCTTGTTACACATAAAAAGTTATTAAAAATCATGTATAGAGAAAATTAATTGCACATTTTTTTTCATATCCCAATTTTGTCGATATAATCCGCGATATTTATTTAAACATAGACGCTATATCTATTACATGCAACCGACATCAACAACATATTCGAAGGTGTGCCGTCGTTGATGATCATTCTACTAACTAGTTATCAAGTAGTATTTATGACGATATACAGTGAAAAAGTAGGTAGATTGAGATTGCATGCAAATTTAGTCGTGCAATTAACGTCGTATTGCACTTGATGTGGTTTTACATAAGAAAAAAAACGCAGGAAATGTATATTTATATAGGTAAGAACCTGTTTTAAGACAATGGAGGAGGACTGGCTTTTGCTGAACACGGAGACTGAAAAAACTATTTTACAACGGCATACTAAATACGGACAATATCTGACGAAAGTTTATGCGAGTATGTATTGGTAGAATCGGGAAAAATTCATAAAGATATTACAAATTATGTAACTGAAAAATTACATTTTTGGGAAAATGCTTTTATGCTTTATGCATTTTTATACAGATGCTCATTAAATGTTATTAATTATAGAAATTTCGAAATATGAAAGAAACTCAAAAACTCTTTCCATTCTTATTTTTATTACATATCCACTCTTTTAAAAAAAGTTGAAAGAATGTAACAATTTGTATTTAATTTATTGTATTAACTTTAGTCATTTATATCATAGGCAATTCTCATTCCTTTAATATATGTTGCTTATATAAATTTATAGTAATCCTCTTTTTAACGCCATTGAGTTTTATTCTTAAACCTACCATACTGACGATAATGGAAAAAAATATAGAGAACGTAACAATGCCACCGTTGTCGAAATTGTCCTATCAACTTGAGTACAACGCGAAAATGGAGCAGCACTTTTATTTCTTAATGCTTCACAGTTCTCTAGCTGTATTGTCTCATTCCTTGATTGCTGTCGCTGTTGATAGCTTCTATTATGCTTTGATCCAACATGCTTGCGGAATGTTCGAAATTATTGGGTAAGAATATTCAGAATCAAATGACGACTCGATATTGCAAAATTGAAACAAGAGTATCTTGCGCCAACACTTGAACACGCTTCTAGACACGTGCTGGAGAACATTGGCAAAAATAATGACGCCAATTTTCGTCTAGAGGTACAAAGAATCGATGATAACAATTATGACGCCGCACTGGACTGCCTACGTAGGCATCTTCATGTAGTAGAGTACATGTTAATCGCTTAATCTTCTTTTCTTTTTCTCTCTCTTTCCCTCTTTCCATCTTCCTAATCTTAATTATTAATTAAACAAATAATGTTTGCTCCAAATGAGAATTTTTCATTATTACTTGTAAATTACTTGTAACACATTGAGATTCGTGATTTTGCAGATTTGTCGAACAGATCGAGTTCTTATTTGCAAATATGTTTCTGGTCTGTCTTTATTCAATGATACTTTCTAGCACTGTATCCGGTATACAGGTATGACTTGACCTTTATCTTTGCAGCAACAAAAAGAACATATCAACAGCTGTTAAAAAAGGAAAAAGACAGTATTTCAATTTGGAACATAATTTCATTATAACATTGCATATGTGTCTTTTAAAATCAATTAACCTTAATTAAAGTCGAAGACAAAAAAACTTTGATTTTTCTAAAAACTTAAATTTGTCTTCCAGGTGATGGTGAATTTAGACAATGGAGACAGTATTGTAGCACCTGTGTCTTTCTATTTTGCACAATTCTTCCATCTCTATCTATAATTCTGGCAGGCTCAATTTCTATTGGATTACAGCGATATTCCGTATAAGTCTATGTTAGAATTTCTTTGAATATCTTTGAATGCGTTTATCGTCAATTATTTTTAATTCATATTTTTTCGTAAGGCGCGAACACTTACGTCACGATTCAGTATTTTTGTTAAATTATCAGAAAATCCTCTTGTGTCCTTCATTGCGAAGCATAACGCTTATAAATATAAGTTTTATTGCTAGTTTTTATATCTAAAATAATATGAATCTCATTTTGCATTATAGTTGCAAAAGAAGATGGTACTATACTTCTCGAAGATGTAGAAAGATCTTTCTTCTAATTTTAAGCAGAACTATGTCGCCCTGCAAAGTAACTGCTGGCAACATCATGCCCTTATCAATTGAAAATTTTGGAACGGTAAAGTAAAATTGTACATTTGTATATATTGTACAATTAGTTATATACATAACATTTTGTAATTATCACGCAGAAATAAATATTTTATCGGCTCTCAATATAAAGAATATAAATATGATGTTTTCTAAATCGGCCAACAGAGCCAAAGCACGAAAAATTATTTTGTAATTATGTTAAAGAATATATGACGAGAAGTTTGATATTTTTTAAAGGTTTTGAAAACATCGATGTCTTATTTTACGGTACTACGTTCTTTCCAGAATTAATGTTATCATATTGAGAGAAATAGTCGTTAATTATACATAATTATTTTTAATATAATGTTATTACACATAAAATTTTTTTTATATTTTGTCTCATTGTCTTCCTAAAAATGAAAATCAGACTGACGATGAGTCCATAATCATGTGTTTATGCATTTTTAAAATT